CGCTGTCGCTGTCCGTCCCTATGTATGCTTAAATCTTTAAAACTACGCAACGGATTTTGAAATGGGTTTTTTTTATAGATAGAGTGATTCAAGAGGAAGGTTTATATATATAATACATGCATATTATAATAGAGGAACACTGATAAATTAAGAGGTTTCTAATGTGATGTTGTAATGTAATGGGAGGCCAGCGCGCTATTATAGTATTAGTATCAGCATTACACCCGTGCGAAGCCGGGGCGGGTCGCTAGTGTACCATAAAAACCAGTTTTAATTGTGAAAAAACCAATTATTTTGATTTAAAAACTAAATTAATGAAGCTAATTGTTGATCATCCAATAGTTCAAAATACAAAAATCAATTTCATTATATTATTAATATAATGGAATAATACCTGAGTCCTCAGGAATGGCAACGCATTTGGTATCATGGGCGAAACAGTATACTCTGTTATGTCCATGGTACTGCTCATGTCTATAGGCGACGGTTATTCTTTCCATCAGGTGGGCCGTCAACTTGTTTGCCATTCTAAGTTGCATAAAAAAAACTCTTGGCAGGTGAAATAGCAACTACAGTTAGGCTTTGGTGACGTTTTAATAGGGCCACTGCTGCCTATCTCTCACCCTTCTTTAGTCGCCTCTTATGACACCCACAGGATAGGATTGGGTCGTCCATTCTATGCCGGGACTACACTGCGAGTACACAAACATGTAAACATCTTCACAAAGTTTTATATTTATTATTATTAGGATAATACAATAAACAATAATGTTCTTCGTATAAAGTTGTATAAATACTTATACAATATCGTATAAATACTCACTAAATATCGTACAACTGAGTAATAGATACGAGTTATTAGTTATTAGATGTATTGTATCGGTGATTTCTTTCAAGGATTGATCGTATTTGCTTTATTGGGCACGGATTATAAGCACATGTTGAAAAATACGGATTAATATTTGACACGTGCCCGCGGCGGCAAGTAAAAAAAATTAGAAATATTATGAAAACACGAAAATCATTATTGTAAAATTAATAATTATTTCATCACCATCATCATATTAGCTGTTAATTGTCTACTCCTGAATTGAGGCCTCTCCCATGGGGTTTTGTCAGTAGTTGCCATGCTTGGCAGGCGGGTTGGCAACCGCAGTTAGACTTTTGAGATCTTTAAAGAAGAATACTGCTGCCCATCTCTCGACTCTTAAGCTCCCTTACACGCCTTCTACGACACCCACGGGAAAGGAAGGGGTGGCCGATTCTATGCGGCCACCACACGGCCAATAAATAATTACTTACTACTCAATTATTACTTACTGTTTTCATCTATGTACTATAGAACGATGACCTCAAATGCATTGCAGGCAGTCAGTGGATGCAGGTGGCTCAGGACCGTTCCTTATGGCAGTGTATAGGGGAGACCTATGTTCAGCAGTGGACAGATAACGGCTGATATGATGATGATGATAATTTTTATCTCATTTTTTAACTTTTAAGCAAATAATTCTCTTTTGAAAACTGTATTGTCCTAAGTGTAATACTTTATATGTCATTTGTACTGTGATATAAAGAGCTATTTGTTTTTTCTTAATAAATAAAGAAACTGGTATTTTTTTTATTTTAATTTATTTTAAGTAAGACTTGAACCTCGCAGTTCGGGTGCCGAACGGTTAACTAGGATCGTTCTATTAATTCACCTAAAGATGCCTCGTTTAAGATGAAAAGGCAGATTTACTAGAAAGAAATTTTGTACAAGACTATTCAGCCTATATACCTTTGCCCCACTAATGTTTTTAGCGTGAAGCAGTTATGCTTCTATTGCTCTGTTTTGCTTGAAAATGCATCCTACCATTGGGTTTGTGTAATTTCACTGTTATAGGTTACATATGACAGTGAAATTACGCAGTACGGCGGCGTAATATCATAATCCTTCTGAATGACAACGCACGACAGATACTGTATTCTGTATTAACAATGATGTTGTTCGTACCCATAGGTGACGGTTTCCATTTTCCATGAGGCTTTCCAGCTTATTTGCTATTCTAAACATCATTAGAAAGATAGTATAAAAGGTTCTCCTTAATATATACATACATATATATATATACAAATACTTAAATACAAAATCGATTTAAAAAATCTCTCCTGCCTCAAAAAGGATTTAAGTATCATGGATAAATCATCATAAATCACCAACAATCCTTCAGTACTTACGGACTCGTTAAATCTAAATTCCAGTATTTATTTTAATATAAGATAAAAACCATTTGTCTTGTAAAAGGGAATTTTATATCTTGTAATTTAGAAAAATAGCTCTGATATTAAAACTAGCTATTTTGACTACAAAAAACTGTTATCTATTAAATTGTATTACCTCGAATGTATTTATACAATTATAGTATATTGTACAATGCAATCACATATAGATCCATTTAATGCTAATGTGACACTGGCAATAGGAGTGTTAAATAGAAAATTTTTCATATAAAAAAATCTTTCATTGCCCTATTTTATTTTTCTAGATATATAATTATCATCTGTACCCCTTTTTTGAAAAAGAACAAATAGGAGGAAACATCTTTGAAACCGCACTGTACTTAACAAATCAGGCAAGTTGGAAAAAGACTGTTAATAATGGAAGAGCTAACCTCCATGGCTAGCAATATTTCCTGTCAGGTCGACCTGACACAAACAGTGTCCTCTGTAAACCATCGTGATTAATTATTGTTATTATTTCAAATATATATATATATATATATATATATATATATATATATATATATATATACACTTATCTTTACTGTTGCGCATCTCATTATTTTGCCTGTTATTGGCTGTCTGTTTCTTATTATAATTTATATTTACGGTTATAGTTTACTATAACCGTAAATATAGCTATTTGTAATCCTATGTAATTTTTACTATAGTTACTAGTTAAATTGTTTAGTCGCTAAGAGGTAACAAACAAACTGACTCACTTTCGTATTTGAAATATTAATATGAAATGAAACATGAAATATTAAAATGAATAATAAATATTAAACTACTGTTTAATAATTAAAAACATTATTATTTATTTTATCAAACTTTAATTTTATAGGGTTGCCACATTTTATTAATATAATAGAATTGTAACTAGACGGCGTCTGTGCATAAGAAATTTTATATGAGAAGTCTTAATGAGACCAAGCTGATGATTTTCGTACAAAGTCTCCCTCCTGAAGGTGTAACTTAAAAACTGGTTCCTGTTGAGGTTTTCTCAAGAGACTACAGCATGGGGTTTTTCAAAAAAAGGATAAATAGGTCTCTTCAGGGTCGGCAATTCGCACGTAATGCTCCCTGTTATGGAGGTGTTCATATGCTTCGGTAATCGCTTACCATCAGGTGGGCCGAATGCTTGTTTGCCACCTCAGTGGTATAAAAAAAACAGCGTTTGTTTGACTGATACTTCTACTTACGAAATCCAGGCATATAAAGTAGCAGGCCAGTGCAAAATAAACTCCCGTATGTAATCAAACATAAGAAAAACAGTATTATTGTAACCTTATTACAGTTTGTAAGTATAATAGATAGTTGTTTCAAGTGTATAGTCATCTGATAGTTTATTTAATTACAAAAGAGATGATATGATGTTTTCTCTCTTTCCCTCCACGAATTCGTGGTCAGAGGTTTCGTAACAGGAAACATTCTTGAGACTTCACCACCCACTATTCTGATTAACTTACCTAAACTATTATGAACTTGTTATGGCCCGTGACTTTGTCCGTGTATCTGGGATATATTGTTTCATATATGTATTAACTTAATTGAAATTGTATTCTATATATTATTTATAATCATCGTCATTATCACAGCCATTATCTCAGACATAGGTCTCCCCCATAGAATGCCATAAGGAAACCTGCCACCTGAACCTTCTGAATCCACTGACTCCCTGCAATGCATTTAAGGTCGTCACTTCATTTAGCGGGAAGTCGTCCTACACTGCATTTGACCGTACGGGGTCGCCACTCAAGAACCTTTTTTCCCCATCAATTTTCGACTCTTCGAGCTATGCGACCAGTCCATTGCCACTTCAGCTGGCTTATCCATTGGACTATGTCAATTACTTTGGTTCTTTCGCGGATATCCTCGTTTCAGATTCAATCACGCAAAAAAACTCCGACCATAGCCCGCTGAGTGGGGGGAAAGGGACTCTTGGCAATGGAGTTTGACAGCCCCATTGCTAGCAATATGCCTTATTAGGTCGACCTCCACGTGGTTCCCTCTGGAAACCATCGTGACCAATTCTTGTTGAATTCATCACGATGGGCTAACTGACCTACTTCATCCTCACCTATCATCCTTCACTGGTGCCCCGCCGGTGTATACCGATGGCACGGGCTCCACCCGTTATCATCCATTAAAAAAAAACCCGCTGAGTAATTTTTTTTTTTTTTTCCAATATTATTTGGTTCGCGATTGGGAGATGAGTATTAAGCTTTAGAGTTTTAGTTGACTTAAGCTGCGATTTGATACAGCATAAGTCTCAATTTTGCACGCGTATTTTATTTTATTTTTCACAGCAGCGAGAAGGTGATATGTATGAATGTGACTTGTTATTAATGGTATTTTTATTTAATGGTTATGATGACATTATGGAGTGCGCGGCTGTCTACGCAACGTGTGGGTGATTAGTGAAGTTCAATTATTATAATATATATAATAATTGAACTTCACTATATATATATATATATATATATATATATATATATATATATATATATATATATATATATATAATAGATTAGTTAATTTTTTTTTTTTTTCCTTTACTTATTATATACATACACACACATATATATATACACACATACATATATATACATACACATATATACACATATACATACATATACACACACATAAATATATATATATATATATATATATATATATATATATATATATTATATTATATTATATTTAATTATGATGATCACTATATGTAATGTAATTTAAGTGCCATTTATTCGTTTGAGACTATGTACAATTTTCTTTGCCAATTGGTCGAATGAGTTCAGAGTTTCCGGTTTCTGTAGAATAACAGTTAGCTCGTAAGGGGAGTCTACTCCATATAATTGGCATGTTTGTTCATATAGCAGCCTAGCCCTGCAGAATATGGGGCAGCTTTTGAGTAAGTGGTTAAACGTTTGCTCACTGGTGCCGTCACACGGGCAATTGGCATTGTCCGTGATGTGAAAACGCCTGAGGTTGCTTTTATTATATCCATGTCCAGTGAGTATCTGAGTGAGATGGAACGAGCGTGCTATTACTGAAAAAAGGTTTTGTATATTATCAAGTTGTGGGAGGAGTTTTCTAGTGTAAGCGCCTTGTTCAGCAGATGTGTACCGTTTCTCCCATGCGATGCGACTTTCCCGCTTATAGTGGGACTTGGCGTACGTCAGGGGGAATTTGTCATAGTCCGGAGCCTTATGCAGGAGACTAGCCTCACCAGCCGCCACATCTGCAGCCTCATTGCCCGCGATACCCACATGGCTTCTAACCCAGACGACATTAATGGGGTTGTCGGTTTGGTGCAGAGCGCTTTGGATGTTGGTGACGATCGGGTGCGTATTACTTCGGTTTTGTATGGCTTTGACTGCTGACAGCGAATCGGTATATATAACCGTGTGTGGATATCGATGAGCAATTGTCCATTCACAAGCTCGGGCTAGTGCATATAATTCAGCTTGAAATACGCTGCAACTTGAGTGTAACTTGTACTTTTTTCTCACCACAGGGCAGGAGACCTCAGGATTACAGCATATGAAAGCCGCTCCGACCTTTCCATTCTCCTTTTTACTGCCATCAGTATATATAGTCACTGTGTTGGATCTCACGTAAGAGTCGGCCTCTTCCTGGTTGGTAGCCAAATGAAGAGGGATGGTGACTCTGGACGCTGGGTGAAGTAGTTTGTGAACAGGAGTTGGTTTCTCAAGCTGCACATCATCAGGGAGGAAGTCAGTTGTGCCAAGCAATCGCGTGCGTTCCACTTTGGCCACCTCCAGTACTTTGAGATCCAGCGGGGTGAACTGTGCCAGTGCAAGTGCAGCTACCGTGGATACAGTTCGAAACCCTCGTATTGCCTTAAGAGCGAAACCTCTTTGCGTGCTCTCAAGTGTCCGGCGATTGCATTTTTTACTAGCGGCATGTCCCCAAATGCCTGCCGCGTATGTTATAATAGGCTCAATCACGCCGTGATAAATGATGCTTACATTTTCTGGGTGAGCGCCCCAGGTAGGTCTTGTGAATAGACACAGGCGTTGGAATATGCGCATCGCCTTAGCTGTGATGTACCGTACATGTGATCTAAATAGGAGCTTTTCATCTATCATGACGCCGAGCAACTTTATCTCTTTGGTAAATTCGAGAGCCACGCCATCCATGTGGACTTTGACCGCCTTAGCTTTGGGTGTAAAAGCTATGAGCCGAGTTTTGTCAGGGCCAAAGTTCAGCTAGACGCCAGCTCCCCAACGAGTGGCGATATCTAGCGCTAGATTGGTCCTGTACTCCAGCGATTGAACATCCGGCGCAGTGACCACCAGAAAAACATCATCCGCGAAAGCCTGTATATGGCATCCCACTGGAAATTGTGTTTCCAAGAGCTCATCCAGAATGATGTTCCACATGGTAGGGCCACAAGCGGAACCCTGCACACATCCCCGAGTCATGCTCTTATCAGCCCGTGCTCCAGCATAGTCGAGGACGACTGTCCGGTCGCGTATGTAGTCGGTAATAATTCCGTATATATTACTTGGGCAGTCGATTTTGTGTAGTCGCGCAAGGAGCGCGGGCCACCACGCATTATTAAACGCAGCCTTGATATCGAGTGCGACGGCCATTGCTAGCTGCCCCTCTGCCTTAGCCTGGCGAATCCGGTTCAATGCCCCATGGATGGCCGTAGTAGTGCTCCGCTGAGTACGGAATCCATATTGCCTTTCGCTGAGTAGGTTACTATTTTCGGCTCGATATATTACTCTTTTGATAAAGAGTTTCTCCAACAGCTTCCCAAACACAGGAAGAAGGCCCAGAGGACGCATCGAGCCCAGGTCACTATAGTCTTGTTTGCCTGGCTTGAGTATGATTTTGACATACGCCCTCTTCCACTGTCTAGGAAACCGCTGGAGCGATAGGCACCTGTTTATTATTTCAGTCAGTAGCCGCGGAAATTGGAGTGCAAACTGCAAGCAAATGTCTGATGTCAGGCCATCCATCCCAGGCGCTTTCTTCGGGTTCATATCCCGCAGTTGTTCCATTATTTCTTCAGTAGAAAATGGTTCATCATCACTGGTGCGTGGGACGCAAGCAGCAGCTCTACGTGTGTCAGCGTGTTCGGAGAGTGAATCCGGCGTATCGTCAGGGTAGAAATGTTTTAAGAGAGCATTCGCGGTTTCCCGTCCATCAGTAGTATATTTACCATCGATTTTGATTGTGGTGGGGGGTATCCTGGGGGCAGTGTCTTTAAGGAGTCGATTGGTGAGAGACCACACATTCTCCTTATTCTGCAACTCACAGAATTCGCGAAAACTCTTGGTTGATTCCTTTTTAAGCTCCTTGGCATACTCAGATTTTTTAAGCTGTTGTTGTGTCAAGATATCCTCAAGTGGCCGTCCCCGTCGTTTTGCTGCATGCAGTTGTCGGTGCAGGCGTACAACTTCCGCCTTTAATTCGTCAAGCCGGTCGGTCCACCACAACGGTTTGGTTTTAGACCCTGATCCTTTGGTAGGCATAGACTCGTTGCACGCTTGCTGTATTGCTTCAGTTACCTCCTCTATAATCCTCTCCAATTCATCCATGCTAACACTGCAGATGTCTGTGGTGAGTATATCAGTAGCCGCTATATTTGTAAATAAAGCGTCCTTAAACTTGGCCCAGTCAGCACGCTTGCTATTGAAACGGTAGGTGGTGGTGCGATTTTGGTTGCTACTTTGCATCTGGTCATGGCAGCGTAGCGAGAAGACGATAGCATTATGTTGTGACGATGGGCAGCCAGTGACATCCACTCGCCAGCCCACAACTCGACCGTGAGCATTGTCAGTAGCCAGTGTAAGGTCGATAATTGATGAGCGATCACGCCCGTAAGTCACCGTTTCAAAGGTTGGTGTGGTGCCTACGTTGCAAAGGTAGAGATCGGTGGCATTCATCAGGTCATAAACTAGATTACCACGGTGATTGGTTCGGTCACTTCCCCATACAGGATGCCAGCCGTTAAAATCTCCACTCACTATAATGTGCTCAGTGAGGTGTTATTTCAGAAAGTATTCTAGCTTATCCATTGTGGAGTACACATCTTCATTGGGTTCTACATAGATGGAGACCAGGAAGGTTTTATTGTCCCCATGGTCCACTCTGATTACGCACATATTGGGGGTAGAATACTGACTAAGCCCGATCGTTTTGATGCCACAGTCTGGCACTATAGCTATGCATGCCTTGACTGTACGAGAATCCTGAGAATATTGATAGATTTGCAGCCCATGTATTGATTTAACCTCTTTACCTGATCCTACATATGGTTCCGTTAACAAAGCGATTTGATGTTTACCAGTCATTAGAGAACGGGTCACCTCGTATAGCCCATTCTTACATCGATCAGTGTTGCACTGTATTATATTTAACTTGTTATTGGGAGCCGTAATTTATACGATTTGTGATGCGTTCTCTCATGGCTCGCAAACGGGGGCAGTTAGAGGAGGTGGCACTATGTTTGGTGTCGGCTCTAGCATTAAATCTAGAATTGTGGCTTATGCAGTTGGCACACTGTAGTTGATCGGCTGATTTTTTGGATATACAGTCAGAGGCAGAATGACCGCGCTGCGCGCAGTGGGCGCAAACCAGATCTTCAGCGTCGCATTGATTTTGGAGGTGGCCAAATTGGAGACATCGGTGACATTGAACGAAGGGGCTGAAGTCGCTTATATGCACTCTGTGGTGATCTAAATTCACCCTCCCCAAGGCAACAGCGACTCGCCAAACCGCTGGGGCGACAGTAAGTACCGCATTGTATAGTAGGGTGTTTCTGTTATTTCTGACGAATCGCAGCTTGATGTCATCAACGTGACTAATAGCTTGACTGATTTGTTCATTTTGCGATGCGAGCAAATCAGGTATTTCTTCGCGTAATACATCCTTAGACACTCCTTTGAGGATGACCATGGGTCGAATTTGGCGAGCAGCTTCAACGGTGAGTTCTTTAGCGTCACTCAATCTCTTGATAGTCTCATCCCTTTGCACTGCATCTTCGAACTCGATGCGGAGCTTGTTTTTGGAGATGCCCTGTACCTTGATCGGCGCGTATTTCACTCCTCTGATCCAAATTTTTCGCAAAAGTGCTCCTATGGGGACAAGTGTGGTGTCTATGCACTCGGGACGGAGCGCACAGCACTGGAAAAATACTAGAAAAATTCCAAAAGCGATAGGGGGGGAGAAAATTGGGGAGAACTAGTAAGATTTCGTGTAGGTAAAAAGTGAAAATTGAAGGGGTTGACGGGGGTAGGGGGGTGATAGGTAGATGAGGAACAACAGGGAACGAAAACTAACTAATTCAACGAGAAAAAACGACGCAGAAAGACAATTTTCGAAAGATTTTTTGAGATTTCTTTATAAAATTTAAACTACTTGCAACAGGGGGAAGAAAGGGGTGAGGGGTGCAAAAACGATTTTAAACTGTAGGGAGCAACGAAACAACAACTTTGACAACAAGAGACAGCGAGAAAACAGCGAAATTCCAGAAAAAAAAAATTTTAACTATGATATACCCGCTGAGTAATTTGAAGCTTTATTACTTATTTATATACATATTATTTATAACGATAATTAGTTTTTACCCGCGACTACGTCCGCGTGACCAAGATATATCCTTCTCTGTCCCATATAGTTTTTACATACCAAATTTTATAGTGATTATATAAGCCGTTAAGGCGTTATAAGATAATGAACAAATGGCACTGTAGGGTAACAAACACTTTCACGGTTATAATATTAGTCAGTTAGCCTATCGTGATGAATACACCTGGAATTCAGCACGAAGAAAAGCTGGAAGGCGATTTAGAAAAGGCGAGGGATAAGCAGCAGCGGCTGCCTAACTGCAGTTGCCAATCCGCCTGCCAAGCGTGGAAACTTTTTTTTTTATACAACTTAGAATGGCAAACAGCTGACGGCCCACCTGATGGAAAGTGGTAACCGTCGCCTATAGACATGAGCAGTACCATGGACATAACAGAGTATACTGTTTCGCCCATGATACCCCCATGCGTTGCCATTCCTGAGGACTCAGGTGTTATTCCTCTGTACCCAGTAAATTCACGACATATCCTACCCTTCAAACTGAAACACAGCCATGCAAACACAACTGCTTCACGGTTGAAACACGAATGGGACAGAGGTAGCCAAGCAATCGACTTTTGTACAAAGTCTCCCTCTGGTAAGGCATAACTCCTCTTATGGAGAAGGCTTATGTTCAGCAGTGGACAGTTAATGGCTGAAATAATAACAATATAAACTCTAAAACAAGTACAAAAGTTATTTAAGTTACAAGAGAAACCAAGTCCATTATTGTAAATATTATATTAACTAGCTTCTAACCGCAACTTCGTACGTGTGGTTTTTGAAAGTAGATTACCAATTTTAGACGACGTGTCGACGTAAAACGTACACCACAGATTTTAAATTGACACATAAGTAACACAAGTGTGCAAACTACACACAATTTGATGTAGTAATTTTTACGTGACCTCAACACTTACTGGTAGACAAAAGTTCTAAAAAATATTGTTTTGGTTTCATATTAAGATCGCTAATATTATATATAATATTGATGTTTGTATTGATATTATTTGAATTAATGTGCAAAAATTAATCTCTCGTTTGACTAAAGACTGATATTAAATGACTCATGTATTTAACTTTCACTTTCCTACGTCACCGGCCCACTCTTTTTCGAGCGATACTTCTATGCGCTAGAGAGCCAACTTGCATTGACTTCCTAGTAGCACAGTAGGAAAGACCAATATAAAATAATATTGGACAGCTTGTTTTATTGATTCAAAGCCCAATTTCTCATAGTTTGCAACTCCACACAAATCAATTAATCCAGTGTTTTTCAATCTTTTTAATTGAAGCGACTCCTTATTATGAGAACTTAAATTGCGATCCCCTACCCTCCACGGTTTCGAATGTGTATGAATTTTATTATAGTACAATTATGAAAAGTTACATTTATATTCACAATTAGGTATCAATAAAATAAAATACATAATAAAGTATTTAAAACAGACATGTAATCGATGTCTGTAATAGATACTTCATTATGTATTATTGATTGATTGATGTATTTACGGAACTGTTGATTTTTCACTCCTTCGAGACCTTCTGCGACCCCCTTGTA